CCTACACGCACACACTCACACCCACACCCACACCCACACCCACACCCACACCCACACCCACACCCACACCCACAGCCTAAATAAAGAATTTATCATCTCATAGATTGTTGCTTTGAAGAAATTGTTAAACATATTTTCTGAGATTTCTAAGAAAATCTAATATTTTTCTTTTGATCATGTTAAATCCGTAGAGTACAAAATTCAACAAATACATATGGATAACAATGAAGACAACTGGATATACTAAAAATTTATCCCTATTTTCCAAAATTCTTTTTTTCATGATCTAGTTCAGTAACAATTATTTTTGAAGAAGACTACATGAACTTGATGGGAACCATCTGTCATCCATTCGAAAGAACCAAGCAACATAATCTTCTTATTCAACCTTTATAGATAAAATGCGATGATATTGAATCTGTATCAGTTGAATCCGAACACTTTCTCTCCTTCTAATCTCCTTGTTGGTACGATTCGTAGCAGCTTCCATATCATTCACATCTATCCACATCCTGAATACAGTAGAGTTAAAGTAAGGAAAGAGCAATGTAGAATATGCCCACTTTTCTATTATGTTTTCGGTTCTAGATTTGATAATAAAAGTCACCGTGACAATGAAGACGCTCCACTTTTTATTGTTGACTTTCTAATCTATTATTGCGTAACTTTTACCCCATGTAAGACAGTTTTTATTGTAATAGAGTTTAAATTTTTCATTGATTTAAGTCCTACTGCAACATCCACAAACTTCACATGATGAGAGAATCCGTTCAAGTTATTTTTAAAACGAAGCAGAAAATTCAGTTTTACACTCACAATCATTGCGTTGCAAAACAATATTTTTCAGACAAACAGATGATAAGATTAGTTTCAAAGTTTACGAATATGTAGACAGGAAAAAGTATTAGTGCAAAATTGTCGTTGAGCAAAATCTATGATGAGTTGATAAATTTAATAGACATTGACTCCTCAGATACTGTTCTCCCAAATGATAATTATAACAGATTTTAATCTTGTGCAAATCAAAATCTATCAAGAGTCTAGCAGCAATTTCTTTTTCTTTTGCAGTGAACATGAACAATCCATAAAAGAAAGCATGACACGGTTTAAGATTTTTGGTTAACAATTAGCCATGCTGCCAATTCTGAGTGTGGATGGTGATGTAGTTAACGAGACCAAGCACACCCACGCCATCTCGTTCCCGATCCGTTTGAAACTCTCTTCCCTGCACCCATAAGCGGCGCATCGCATATGGGTGCAGAAAAGAGAGTTTCAAACGGATCGAGAACGAGAGGGTGGATCTTGTTTTGCGTGAATTGAAACTTGCTTATATCTCCAATATACCTTGCATCTCTATATCTCCTTTATCTCCATATTTATTGCATTAGTACTTAATTGAGTTTCTGAGGATATTGGTAGAAGACATCATATGCTTTCGACATTTTTCCTTTCTGCCTCTTTTCATCCATGCCGAGCTTAAAAATAAGTATGAAATGAAGGAAAAAATTCTGTGGTGTGAGCTTGAGAAAAAAGAGGCAACGCAGATCTAAACAAGTCGACACCGGCACAAATATACCCACACTCTCTTGGCATCCACATCCAAACCGATACCCATATCTGCACTCACACTCATATTCATACCCGCACGGACACCCACCCTCTAATAGCTAAGTAAGAAACAATGAGTCAATAAGTACCAATGTTCGTGGAAGAAAGCAAGATTTGCATGACTGTTTACAGAAACTACATCATGTTTCACATTTTTAATCCCAAATGGATGTCGCCAACAGCTTTTATCACACATTTGTGTTTAGAGATATCGTTAGTTTTTGGATATCATTAAGCAATACTAAAAGAATAAATCACGTTTCATTTATCCCATGTAAACAACGAACGCAAAAACTCTGCGTTTAAACGCGTTTGTCTTATAGGACGTACTGGAACGCAGTAGAAAACTGCTACCAAACGCGTATGAGTGTGATTTTGTATAAATCCCATTTCAGCGGGTTTGGAATAAGGCGTCGATAGCATCGGAATATTATTTCATTGGAAACCGTATTTTTATCGAGAAATGTTTCGCATCTGAACGTGATTCTAGTTCATAGTGTCCATTCGTAATTTCAAATATCGTCACGCCTGACCGAACTTTTGTGAAGCAGCGCGTGTGAATACACTTCATCTAAAAACGCGCTCCCAATGCAACGTTTTCTGAGTGTAGACACGATTTCAGTTGGAGCCGCCTCTATCTGCGACTTTATCAGCCACCACGTCTCGTCGTGTCTGAGTGTGCTGTTTTAAAAAATGCGGATCTAATGCAACTTTTCTAGCGTTTCGATGCGATTTTAGTTGGAACAGCGAGTAGAAGAAAAATAGTTTTCTCGTAAGATTTTAGACTACATTTTAAAAAAATTGGTTTTCTTAGAAATCTATTTTGCTGAGTTTCTGAGAAAATTGATTTTTTTTACGGTGTAGACACGTTCGATAGCTTCGATTACGATACAAACGAAGCTTTCTTCAGAAAGCTGTTAATGGAAAAAAAACATGATTCGTTCAATGTCCGCCCGAAAATCTGTGTCAGCGTTCCCTACAGAATTAATCTAGCTTCAAGAATCTCTTATTTTTAACAGTTTTCAATTGCTTTTCTCACCAACGACAGAATGCATGAACTTTTCCACAGAAAAAAAGTAAGCGCATAAATTCTGAAGCATCGATTACGTCATTAGTGAAAACATTATATATACACAAGATTTTATTGACACACACATTTGTAATGAAGTTTCCAACAGATTATCCATATTTAGTTTTTGTTTTCTCCGATGACTACGTAGTATGATCACATTTGAATCAATGGCATGTATCTTTTCTCTCTAGTCCCTAGTTCAGTTGTTTTGATCCCATTTCTATCATTCTGGAAACATGAAAATTTAAGTCTTCCGTTAGCCTATAGTGAGGTGAAGACCATCCATAGGGAATATCGGCGGGTACTCAGATCAAACCTAAAACGGATTGTAAAAAAGTTTTTGGAATTTGAAATACTGAGTTGATTGTGTCTAGGGTGTGGGTGGTTGTGAGTGGGTGTGGGTGCGGCGGGTGTGGATGTGTGAGTGGGTGTGGGTGCGGTGGGTGTAGCTGTGGGTGTGAGTGTGTGCGTGTAGGTGTGGATGTGGGTGTGGGTGCGGTGGGTGTAGCTGTGGGTGTGAGTGTGTGCGTGTAGGTGTGGATGTGGGCGTGGTGAATTTCACTTGTTTCCAAATTAAGCAACACCCAAACTCAGACCCACACCCACACCAACGCTCACACCACCCACACCCACCCACCCTACAAAAATTCGTCTGACAAATCTTGTTTATAAACACTTGAATTCTATTGACTCCTGCTCAAGCCAATGGGATTTCGAAGGAAGTGGAGTACAGTTTCAAGTTTTCCGTCCCAGAAAATCTCGAAGTATCACATCTGTAATCAGAAGATAGAACCTAAATTGATCCTCAATTCGATTTCGAACAAAAACAGAACCGATTTTTGGTTTTATTTATCGTTGCAATAGATGAGTTAACTTTTCTGCTTATTTATGTTTTGTATACCATATTGGGGATTTTAAAATTCTCTATCGAATGATATATAATAGTTGGGGCTATATTTGACTATGATAGGAAAAGTAGATTATCTCCTAATACTTCAGAAATACGATTTGATAGAAATACCTTTTCTTATTCCATGTGATTCAAAAAATTGGTTGTTTGTTTTTGTTCTACAAGGAAATATTTAATGATTCTAAGTCACTTCTATGAAATGTTAATTCATTATCAAATGCTTTTCCTTGTTGATTGAAATGGAGAAATGTATCACTTATTTAAAAAAATTTTCATTTTCTTGTGAAAGACAAACAAAAACCAAAGAAAAAAAAATGCTGCAGACAGTTTTTAATGAAAACTGCAAAATTTTTTGATAGATAAAATTGATTAATACTATAAAAGAATGGCAAGAAAAATGATAGTTATAATCAAATATTGTTCTCTTCGATCGAATGAATGCTTTAATCTTTTCTGACTGTTATTTATCGTTTTAATCTGAAATAATTTTTTAACATTTGTTTCAAACTAGTATATCTATAGTAATTTTAGTCAATGAGAAAACATCACTAACTGTTATTCGATTAAATAGCATAGGATAAATTTTGTTTCCACCGCCGGGTGTGAGTGTGAGCTTTGAATTCCTTTCTATGAATACACATTCTCCACTCAAACTTTCATTTATTGATTTATCATTTTATTCGATACTATTTGGTAAGAGAAAAAATCATTATTAGAGGTCAAGTGGGAAAAAAACGTATGAAGCATTGCTATTCTTTCGTTGAAAAAAGAAAATTTTTGATAAATTCATTTTAAATTAAAACGTGCATCATAATATTTTCGTCGAAGACGTTTCATTAGAGGACTTGTATTGGATGGAGTTTATGTCTGAAAGGTTCAAAATAATCGGATTTTCTCATACATCTACAAGCATTACTCAACTAGGTTGTATTCAATATTTTAAACACATTATAACTAAAAATAGTAAAATCAACGATGAGAACAACTATACAAAAAGCAACAACATGTTCTTGTAGTTTGAAGATTTTTCAATACATTTAAGTCATCTTGATGATGCAATTTTTACGATAGAATTTAATTTCAATACGCTTATCATCAAGCCTTATCGCTTAAAATGTATTTCACCTCCTGTTAATCTCTCCTTGAGTAATAAAACTTTCGTCGTCAGTCAAACTGACGTCATTATCAAGAATAGATGGCGAAAGATGTGAGTCATAAACAAATAGAAAAAAACCCAAACGAGGTATTTTATTTTCTGGCATTTATATATGCTAGCGTACTTTTCTGAGCAATAAGTAACATTTTCCAATTTTTGTATTTCTCTTCAATAAGTCAAAATGGATACGAATAATGATGATACACAAGTTAAAAATGCTCAATCGTCTAAACCACGTATGAATCGAATTCCAAATGATGAAATGGCAAAGGTGATGAGAAATCCATGGGATCCTTTACATTCTTCTGATTGGGATGAATGCATTCCTACTACTACTTGTTTAAGAAGAATTCAACGGTAAGCTTTTAATTTAAAATAGAATACTTGACATAAAAATTTTCTTGATTAGTGATATTTCTTCCATGCTGAAAGATTCTCCACCGGGAATTTTTATTGATACTGATCCTGATAATATTACAAAGGTAAACAACTATTCTGTAGATCTCACATGTATTCTCTAAGGCAACAATTACTGTAAATTATCCAAGCTTTACTTTTTTCAACCGTGTAGATAAAGAAAGCTTGCGATTTTTGACTGAGGAGATTTTTTTCAAAGTTCTCTATCTTTTCATTCTAGATTCATGCTCTTATAATCGGTCCGTCTGATACATCATATGAAAATGGATTCTTTTATTTTATAATACGTTATCCACCTAATTAGTATGTCTAAAGACGTTCACAATTAAAATAAATATTTTTTTTTTCATTCTAGTCCATTTCAACCTCCTCGTTGTCGTTTCATGACAACTGCAAATAATACAGTTCGTATGAATCCAAATCTTTATCAAAATGGCAAAGTTTGTGTATCCATTCTCGGGTAAATTTTCTCGATTGATTACCTATTATGTTATTGTTACGAATTTGTATATTGTAAGTACTATGACTGGACCATCATGGTCTCCAGTTCTAACTTTGGAATCTTTAATGCTTTCGATTCAATCGTTAATGTCCGAAAATCCATACCATAATGCACCAGGTTTTACAAAAGTGAATTAAAGACAAAAAATTCCAATATGTCTCTTGTAAAAATTTTTTATTGAAAAACAAAAAATAGGAACGTCGATTAGGTGAGTCGAAAGCCTATAATGAAACACTAAAACACGAAACACTTCGTGTTGCTGTCTGCAAAATGCTTGAAACTACTAATGTAGTGCCACAACAATTACGGTAAATTTTAAAATTTACAAAAAGTGAAGAAAATAATTATTTTTATTTTAGTGAAATTATGATAAAGCACTTCTTGAAGTTCTACGATTATTACACTGATGAATGTAACAAAAACATAGATAAAGATGATCAACAAATGATAGTATGTAAAAAAATCAAGAAAGAAAAGGAATATTTTGTGCTTGTATATAGGATCCATTTAATAAAAATTGTGGTTTCTTTCAATATTCATCCCTACTCACGCGTTTGCAACAGTTAAAATATGAACTAGAAAGTAACAAATGTTGCAATGAAGAAGAACAGCAGTCCGATTTCGATATTAATCAAGATATAAGTTCTTCTATTAATATTGCTTCAAATAGACTATCGGATTGTAGGATAAATACAGATGAAAAAGTTTTTGATAACGAAAGAAAAGTGAACCACAATCAAGATGAAGTAAAAGAAGAACATGCAAATGATATTCAATCATCAGAAACAAATCTATTAATTTGATTACTGTATTTTTCTGTTGATTAAATGATGAAAACAGTTTTTTTTTACTTGCCTTGTATGATAGTATCACAAAAGTCAAGATTGAACTCTGTACAAGTTTTCTGTACAGTAAAATAAAAATATTCTTATTTAATACGCCATAACTCAGTTCTTAAAAATTTCTTCCATGAATTTTAGTCTTCTCAACTACTAAGAATGTATTTCTTTACTAAAATGTTAACTTCACATTTCATAGAAATAAATACTCATCCTGAAGTAAGTTTTACACGAAACTCTGGTCGATTTAATCGAATAAATACCGAAGCCAACATTATACCCGATTCTTCAAAATATAATCCACTATGCTAAACAAAAATTATTCTAGCTTACTAAAATCAATTCTAATTTTAACAAATATAGTAAGCAGCTTGTTGGAACGTAGTGCTGACATTTGCCGTATCCTGTTTATGCTACAAACGAATGGTTTTTGATTTTCCAAAAAGGATTATTAGTTCCTTAACCGTCTTACACAAAAGATGCCTTCCATAAGATTTGCTTCTAAAATTCTCATTTATTTCATATCATTTTTCCAGAAGAAGTATACCCATGTAAAAGAAAAGTGAACCAAAAGTAACTTTTTATCACTTTTAATAGTAATAAAGTAAAATAAAGTAAGTTTTCTTACTATTTTTCACTTTTTATAGTACTTTTTGATCATTTTTCCACTTTCTATAGTACTTACTCATACTTTTCCTACTTTCAAAAGTACTTAATAGTACTTTTAGTCAAAAAGTATGAAAAGTACTTAAAAAGGTTCACTTATAAGTACTTTTTCCTGCTTAAAACCTACTATTGAAAGTACTTAATAGTCACTTTTTTGGATAAAAATTTTTACATGGGTATTTTCGTAGAGTTTTTGAATGGAGCCTTGAAATTATCCAATTGTATTTGTTTAAAATTAAAAAAAAGCACAAAGCAGTGGCACAGTTTTCCTCAGTAATTTTAAAGGTGTTTGTATCGGTGGAAGAGATGTGGGTGAGGTTTTAAGTGTGTGTCGTAATAGAGTCATATCCACCCTCAACCTATTAAGAAAGTGAATCATCGGTATGTAATATTGGATGAACAGTTTCTAATAATAAAATGACATCACAAGATTGCTCCAATAATAATTCATGTATTTCGGTCTTTGATATTGATAAATATCGATTTGAAAAATACAAATAATCAGGATTCTTGTCTCACTTGATAATCAGAGTGTAAGTATCACAGGTCGAATCGAACTGAGTTTTTCTGGATTGAGTTCGATTTGTTTTCGACCTCTGGTTAGTATGATGGTTAATATAAGGGAGACAAGGGAGGAGCGAGCTCCTTTTTTCAATCCCTTGATAATAAATGATCAATCGATATTTCCGGCTTATTGAATTCGTAGAGTAACGACTGGATGTGGGTAGGTGTGGATGGGTATGGATGTATGTGTGGGTGTGTGGGTGTGGGTGTGAGTGAGTTTGGGTGAGTGTGGTAGCATAGAAAATAAGCATCCACCTTCCACACCCACCAACACCCCTCATTTTTTTCGATATTTTTCCACTTCAATACTCTTTGACATTTTTCCTCTTCTATATTTTTTCTTTCAACATTTTTCTCCTCCTCTTTTCGACATTTTTTCCTTTCGACATTTTTCTTTCGAAATTTGTCCAACACACCGACGAAATTGATTCATCTATTCGTGAACAAACTAGACTAGAATTCAATATTTATAATGGAACAGTTCAATATTGTCATCGTGGATGACGGAAAAGTGCATCTATATGATTGAACTTTATCGACACACAGCTGTATATTTTTTTTTGGCTATTATGAAAATTCTAGATTACAAAAAGTATGAATAGTTCAATTGTTAGGTGTGTTGATCTACCTGACGAAATTTTGCTTACTATTTTCAAAAAACTACATCATTTTGATGTATTATACTCACTTGTGGGTGTTAATGAAAAGCTCGATAATGTGGCATGTGATGTTACTTTCACTCGATCTATTGATTTCATGACGATATCATTAGATGGAGCAGATGATTCAAGAATTAATGCTATACTTGATCGATTTTGTATGGACATATTACCTTGAATTCAAAACAAGATGGAATGTTTTACTATTCAAACTTGTTTCTTAAAACGTGTTTACCATACTGGGGTGTGGGTGTGGGTGTGTGTGGGTGTGGGTGTGGGGTGTGGATGTGAGTGTGGGCGTGGGCGGGTGTGGGTGTGAGTGTTGGCGTGGGGTCTAGGTGTGGGTGTGGGTGCGGGTGCGGGTGTTGGTGTTGGCACGGATTAAAAGAGGACAAATACTCCGAAACCCACACCCGACACCCTACACCCACACCACACACCCACACCACACACGCACACGCATACCCACACCCACACCCACACCCACACCCACACCCACACCCACACCCACACCCACACCCACACCCACACCCACCCACACCCACACACCCACACCCCCACCCACACCCCAGTATCGTAAAC